TGTGAGTAGCCTCGGCGGCGGGAGCCCGCGCGCGGGGCCGGCCTGACGTGGCGACTGTTGCAGACGTACTACGGGTTCGACCCCATGGCGCTGGAGGAGGAGGTGGACCGCACGGCGGCGGCCGCCATGGTGCGCACGTACGGCCAGGCGCCGCGCCAGCTGCTGCGCGCGCCGCACCCGCACGCCGCGCGCGACGTGGCGCCCGCCGCGCCCGCCGCGCCGCCCGTCTGGGCCGGCGTGCGCGGCGCGCGCTGGGGCCGCTGGGCCGGCTCGCCGGCGCTGCCGCCGCCCGCGCCCGCCGCGCGCCGCTCGCTGCCGGCGCCGCCTGGCTGCACGCGCTGCCGCACGCGCGCTCCGTGGCCGTGGCCACCCGGGCCACTGCACTCGTGGCGCTACACAGTAATGCCATACTTTCTCGTTCGGATTTTCTTATTAAAACAATACATTGCTACCTCACGTTTTCAAACACTGCAACAACCATAGTCATATCTTTATTTGCATACCATAATGTTTCACAAGACGTTACATAGTGGACGTACAAGATACCGTCAAGTAAGTATGAATAGTGAAGTAAGCATTTGTTTAATAGTGAAAACATTACGTTGTCCAGGCGAGGCGGGCGGGCAGGGCGCGCTGGCCCTGGTGTCGTGGGGCCACTCCGACAACATCGTGCGCCTCAAGCGGCGCCGCGACCTGCGCCCCGACCTACTGCTGCAGCTCTGCGCGCTCGACCAGGTACACTGCTCCACTCTACTCCGCAGCGCACTGCTGGACTATGGACTGCGGGCCCTCCTAAGAGCGATTTACTAAATAATCGCCACGCTTTATAAACGAGTTAAATAGATAAAAGTAGGTGCAAGTGTAAAATGAGGCACACGGTTTGTGTTCCGGGCGTAGATAACGAAGGTGGTGTCGTGCGTGTCGGCGGGCTGCCCGTTCCCGCTGGTGCTGGGCCACGCGTCGGGGCGCGTGCAGTGCGTGCGCGTGCGCGAGGCGGGCGGCGCCGTGCGCGCGCAGGTCCGCGGCCTGCACGCGCACCGCGTGCCCGTGCACGCGCTGCACGCCGCGCCGCGCGCCGGCCTGCTCGTGTCCGCCAGCCTCGACGGGCACATCGTGCTCTGGGACCTGCACAAGTAACATCTACTACTTCTATTATATTACTACACATTTCAGATCTCTTATGTATTCTGTTTAAAATAAATTGTAGGGTATGTACTTATAAAGTTGTATGGAATTCGAAGTCTTTTTGAATGTATGTTTTCTCATGTAAGTTTGTGAAGGGATTGTTTGTTTGCTAAATAAAATAAAATATATTTTCCGTCCTCGGTACAGACTGACATACATCCGCACCCTGCCCAACCGGGACATGCTGTCAGTGACGCACGTGACCATCAGCGAGACACTGTGCGACATCGCGTCGGTGCACGACATCACGGCCAGCAACGCGGGCGCCGGCGCGGGGCCCGACCTGGAGGAGAACAACGACGCCGAGGCGTACGAGAAGGATGCCTACAAGTACAAGTCGCTCATCAGGGTGCACACCGTCAACGCACGGTTTGTGGGTCAGTGTCACACATGCTCTTATGTTTATTTATTATACTACAACATATTTTTAGAAAATATATAGCGACTAGCGAGTATCGTTCGTAGTACGAGTGTAGACAGTAGTTGTGTGACGGCAGGCAGCGTGAAGGTGGTGGAGGAGGTGACGTGCGTGTGCTACTCGGGCGCGGCCGAGGGCGTCAGCGTCAACGGCATCGCGGCCGGCCTGCGCACCGGCGGCCTGCGCCTCTACAGCTCCTGGGACCTGCGCCCGCTGCTCTACCTGCCGCCGCCCGACGCGCGCGCGCCGCTACTCAGGTACGGTACCCACACCACTGTACTCCTGGGACTGAGAGTCAAGTGGATTCACAACGCAAGCAGCCCAACTCCGAATGAACCGGCCTATTGGTGGGTGCCGAAGCATGACACTACATACTTATTCAAAGTTGTAAATAGTTTGTATGTGTATTTATGTGTAGTACAAAGAGTGATATTAACAAGAGTAATATTGTTTCCAGCCTGACATACAGCAGTGACTCGAGCCTCCTGTTCGGTTGCTACGGGTCGGGCGTGGTGCTGGCCTGGGACAGCTGCGGCTCGCAGCGACCTGCGCCGGTACGGATCGTACCTGCACACGCACTCTTCTGACTAACATAACACACATCTATAATATTGTATCTAATATTACACTCGATCGAGAAACCTCCTGCTATCGAATACTTACGAACAAACAACTGCATGAGTGACCAGTTGCTCATTTAAAAGACTGCTACAATAATCTCCCAATAGATTAATGTATACGATGCATGCTGTGAACTACAATGCAAGTGACATTCGAAACATAGCTGTAAGGTAAACTGGACTTATGAACAAGTCTTCGTAGTAACATGACTTGACTAAGCGTATACTTAATTCTCCTGTAATCATTTTCTTACCTTCATTCTAAGTTACTTGGAGTCGGCGAATATATCTTCCTCGGAGACTATCTCTTACCAAACGTCATCCTATTATAAACATTTTTTATCTTTCATATAGTTCTTTATACAATCTATCCATAATTTCTTTAAGTTGTCTATCCCTCTCCACCCCTTTACGCCTTAGTTAGGATTTAGGTCCTCTTTTCACATGATTTTAATCCCTATTCGACATTATGCGAAAAAATTAATGTGTGAGACACATGAATTTACTGCAGTAAGCATTGTCTAAGTCATATCCCTGGTAAATAAACATACCGTTGTAATCAAGGTCTTCCCTTTATGTAAGTTGTATAGAGTAAGTTGTGAGGCGTTAGATAAAGCAATAGTTTTGTAATGTTTGTGCCAAATATACAGAATGCTACACGAGCAATATTTTTAATTGTGAACTATGAAGTATTTCGCAGAGCGATACATTTACGTGTGTATTTTATAATTATGATTATGATCCTTGTATGTTTTGTATATTTTTCGAATGCTACGTATTAAGATTTGTAAATAGTATTCAGTCGAGGTGTAAATGAGAACAGGTAATATTTTTGTTACTATTCCATGGAAATATACAATCAACTTTAATAATCGATGGCTTCCATTGTAGACTGTTTGTTTGTTGTTGATGACAATATAGACTAACGGTATATTCAGAAAGGTAAACAGTGTGGTATTATACAAAGCGGTGAGACAACATGTTGTATATGTTGTATAGAGACTTCTTATCTGAGGCAAACTAGGCAAGGGTGCTGGGTTACAGTGTGGCGGCACGACATTGCGACGCGAGGTGCGCGTGACATCAGCACCAAAAGAAATTAGGCTCGCCAATGAGGTGCTTGCCTCTCTAGGTTCAATCCGCATCTAATGTTATTATGCTGTGTATGTTCTATCTATAAGACTGTTATATAGTTGCAAACGTATGCTAGTATGAGCAGTAACACATATCTTAGTTATAATAAGTGTAAATATATTTTTATACCAACATTCCTACAGCTGCTATTGTCATTCACTAAGTTTATTGTACAATATGTTTAAGTTTCGTTATGAACATAATGCAACGTTGTTATAACTTTGACTATTCCACATCAATTTGTTACATGTGTGTGCAAACATTTGTGAGGCTATAAAGGTCGAACCCTTTCAGTATTTAAGATAGGTGATGTGATTGCTTACAATATTTATTGAATATTAATATATTTATGAAATAATATCAACATTTAGACAAAGACACGAAACATTGCCGTCCTATATGTATAACAGTTACACCAGTCGGCAATAACAGTTGATAGATAACTTCTTGCCTTATTTATAATATTGTAATATATTGCTTTGTAAGTTATTAATAATGTCTGTTGAGTTTTGTAAATCAATAAAGAATTTTTTATAAGTAATCGTTTCCTTTATTATAACATAACATAACATCACGCCTTTTATCCCCTTAGGTATAGGCAGAGGTGCACATTATGCCACTGTACAATGTAACACCCAGTTTTCACTATTTATGTTATGAGTCCCATGTAACAGGGGGTGAGCCTATTGCCATATACGGGGCACAATTCCGGACTCCGTGCTACTACTGAGATTTTTTTTTAAACACAGTCCGGCCCGGCAGTCGCACTTGCGACCACTCTGCCAACGAGGCAGTCTTTATTTTATTTATTATATTAAAAATTTAATTAAAAGATATTATTTTCTTCAAATATGACGCTTTGCGTAAAATAATGTAGTGCTAAAAAGCTGAAATCAAATTTCTACTAATCCTAATATCCAAATCGCTTGTTTTGCTACCTTGCCTAGGTCGCTTTGCCTACTGAATAAATAGAATAATTTATTTGTTGATTTTGGTGTTGTATCATATTCATTACGAAAGAGTGAGATTTTTTTCCTTGATAGATAGTATAGGTACAGGTAATCATAGTATTTTACGTGCTTAGTTAGCTTACTGGTACTTAGGTGCATTCTTTTTAATTAGACATGCACGAAGCAGATATAATATTATGAAATATGAAACTTATTGTTGTTTTATTATGCCTCTACTATTACGTACAGAATTTCGAAAACAAACAAACCCAGTCTACAACTCTGCCTCAGTCTCTTATTCGGCTGAAGCATGAACAGTAACATGTTAACAGGAAAAAAATTGAACATTCTTTTATTTAACATTAAAATAATGCATGTTGAATCTTAATCCAAGGTTAACCTATTATACTCCAAAGGTATCACACATACACAATCAAGGAAGATTTTGAAAATTATAAATAACCTTTAATATTCAATTTAATTTTTGTCGATTGGCAACCAAAATTTTGACATACACGGTCGAATGGCAACATAAAATTTACAATTAAAAATTTGACATTACCGTGCTCATAAACAAAATGGCGACGATAGATTGACATTGTTACGATTTGACTGTCTATTGATTACATTTTACAATACAAAACACAAGTTTAATTTCTATTGCAATTGCATATTTGACTTGACAACAGTAATATGGGTTCCAAAAAACATAAGAAGGAATCGAAGAAGAAGAAGCACAGGAGTCGGTCTCGTTCCCCACTGGAAAATGAGGAGGTTCAACGTGATCGTACGGAACGCAAAAAGCATCGGAAACATAAAGATCGCAAACGAGACCGCTCCCCAGACGGTTAGTTACCCTAATTTACTTACTAGAATGAGATACGCTAGACTCCGATGATTATTTCCAAGGTTTTTGACAATAAACTACTGCATTACTACCGACTTGGTGATTGCAATTATATTTACGCAGTAAGTTGTTGTGGAAATCATAATCGGTGTCGGCGGTATTCCCATTTGGCAATATAATGGCATTGTCTGCTCGTTATTTCAGACTCGGTGGCATTCGAGTAGTTCCACCGCGTCCGTGAGCAGCTGACGACAGGTAGGTATTGTGGAGCTGTGTGGAGTCTGTGGGCAATCATGATGAAGTGATGGATACAAATATAACAAACACCACAACATGAGACCACGACACATGCCAACCTATTATTGTGCACAAACAAGATAATGTTTGCTTACACTAGCTATGTTTGGATTGTTAGGGTGTGTAGTTTACAGTGAACAGAAAATAACGAAATCTGATGGAGGATTTCCAGTTTCCAAAACATAGATGTTGTGCTTGGTACACCTACTTATCAGCATTAGACTCGGAAGGGACACATTTAGCATTTATATACACCAGAGAGTGAAAGAAAACACTTAACCATGTTAAAAGTTATTGTTGAAATATTATTAAGAAAGGCCGAGTACCTCATCATGTGATCCAGATTTTATTTCTAGGTGAAATCAACATATATTTAGTCCTATTACCAATGTTTGTATCCATACTATTGGGGTATGTTCTTTTCGGAAAAATATGATAACAAGACAATGGTGATGCCTGCTTGCTAGGTTCTTTATGGTTGTATGGGACCATTGAGATGGAAGTCAGTGAGCTCAGTATTTACAACTTTAACTATAGCAAAGATTCCCTACTCACTAAGATGACTTAAACTGTGACAGTACATTGGTGCTTGGTTTAGTCCATGCTGTTGATTTTAGTCTTAAAAAATTTTTAAAATAATTTTCTTCTAGAGACAATAGTGAGTGTTTCATTTTCTTGATCTACCTACTTGTAATAAAATTGCAATCAATAGGTAAATCCTGGAAAAAGTTGCCTTTTTTCATTTATGGTAGTTTCACTTTCATATCATGTGAACCTTTGTAAGCTCTTACTTATTCCTCTCTTTAGTAACTAACTTTGGTCTTGGAACAAGCAAATAAAGGTCCACTTTATAGGTTTTTTTTTAATTATAATTGTTGAACAACACAAACTTAATTTACATATCTATAGAATCTTTGTAATTTTTTGTATACAATTCTATCTTTTGGTATACTTAGGGCCGATTCTTCCAACTTCGGATAAATTTTAACTGAACTTTGAATATTTGACAAGTCTTCCATACAAGACCTGTCAAATATCAATTTTATTCTATGGTTAAAATTTAACTGATGATTGAAAAGTCAGCCCTTAATTTAAAATAAAGTAGTATTTCATTTTTATTCTATGCAGTAGATGCGAGCTATGAAGACTTATCTATCTCTCTCATAGAATACTTTATGATCTTAAAATTATGGGTTATCATTTGTATTATTAGTCAAGCAATAGATTTCATGGATTATTGATTCGGACTTGTTTTAGATTCTTTCTCTTTTTAAAATTCTCCATTTTTAAATATCATCCCATTCTTCAGCCTTTATCTAACCTGACCTTTACGTGGCTGTCAGGAAGGGCAACTTATTATGTTTCATACACATATCTCTTTTAAATAACTGTTGTCACCCTTCATATCAAGCTATTGAGTAAAAGATTGACAGAGGATACAATAGAAATAAATATAAGCTTTTATGAATTAGCTAATTAGCCAATATAAGCCTATTTTGTTGTTTAATATCTGTACAATTGGCATTGGTAAAACTTAAACTGAATAATTAATGTTTTGTTAGTTTTGTAACAACATTAAAATATACACATTTTTTTAAATTGAGTAACAATATGTAAATTTTTAGTAATTACTTTTGAATTAAGTTGAAACATTTTTATTTTGACGTTTTTAATCTAAGAAATGTCAAGCAAATATCATTTATTCAAATAAAAAACTTAAATTAAAAACTAACTTATTATTAACTATTACTTTTGAAATAATATCTTAGTTATAATAAGTTATTTTGAAAAGGTATTTGAGAACTAACCCAGATTGGAACTACTGAATATTAAGTAAGTTTTCATTCCGATAAATCTATAAATTAAATTATTCTCTTTGATGTTGTGTGAAATAACATCGATGTGGCATAGCATCACGCAGTTATTTGTTTAATACAGGTGTGAAAATGTGCTCTTGGTTGTTCTAGTTGAGGAGGTGCCGGTAGACTCCCACCTCGGCAAGGACACGGCAGCCCGCTCCCACAGCCGCAGCAGCAGTGTAGAACGTGACAGACGAGCCAGGGAACAAAACCGCAAAGAGAAAGATGAAGAGAACCACAGGTTGTTATTGTACACACTAGTGATTTTGTTACATTGTTACCTCTCTTAATTTACTCAACTGCTCAAAAATATTTGTCATAATATTAACTGTATTTTGTTATAACCAGGGAGAAGAGTTCAGAGAGTGAAGCGAACACGTTCATACCAGCTCGCTCGGCCGACCGCTCGCAGTCACCGCCCTCCACCAGTGGTGGCGGTGCGCAGGAGAGCCTGTCCATCGAGGAGACCAATAAGTTACGAGCTAAACTTGGACTGAAGCCACTGGAACAGAATGAAAAACCTGGAGGTATGAAGACACAAATCATATTGTTTTATTTTTAAATATATATATATATGTGTGCATTGTTTAAGATACTAAATAATTTGTCCTGTTTCAGATGATGGTAAAATAAAGGATGATCTGGGCGAGTTTTACCACAAGCCAGCAGCTAACCTTGCACAGCAGAAGAAATCGGAGAAAATAAGAGAGAAGCTTCAAGTGCACAAGGAGAAGAGGAAGATTGAACAAAAGTCAGTATCACAATATTTTTTACAAGTTACCTCAATCTATCCAATATTATATTTGATAGATATTCAACCTTATGACATATTACGAAGTTGGGAATACATTTAAAAAGTTAGACAATGTGGGGTCCAATGTTGGATGCATTTTATTAAACATTTTACAGTTTGGTATAAACATTACGTGTGTTACAGGCTACAGACAACACTACTAGCTGAGGAATCAGACGAAGACGATGCTGCTGCCTGGGTGAAGCGCTCTCGGGAGATTGATAAACAAAAACGTGAAGCTGCCAAAAGGGTTAGTACACTTTCAATTTCTATTATAATAATAATTGTACAGTGATCAGCAGATGAACCTCCTACTGTCTGTCTTTCTTTATAAGATTATCAAATTTTATAGTTTTGACATAAAGCAAAAATCCAATGATAGAGGAACCTGCTGGCAATCATATATTTATAAAATTGTAAGTGGTTAGTAGGTAATTTTAGTGGCATTTGAAGTGAATTGGAATAATAAGTAATGTATTGTTTGTGTGCAGGCAGCGATGTTGGACGAGATGGACGCGGTGTTCGGAGTGTCTGCGCTGGTGGAGCAGGACTCGCGCGAGGCGCGCCAGCGCTCCTACACGCACAACCAGCTCAAGGGACTCAGGGTCGCGCACGACATCGACGCCGTATGTACATGTCCTACGTTATAATATATTACTCATACGTGTTACCACTCATTTATGGAATAGGTAAGCAATCGGCGTTGCTCATCAAATCAAGTCATACGTAAGGACTAAAACGTGTGTTGTCGGGCTTTCGGGATTTGGGGAAGCATTGGGCCTCTCGTAACCCCACTTGGCGAAACATAATGTTATCGTTGTTTCACACCGGTTCTTGTGAGATCATGGAAATATTGCAATCGTAGTTCCCGTAACAGAGCAATTGCTTCTCTCACGTTAAAAAGTTAGAAAGAGCTTTTAAATATGAGTTAGGACTAATGATTGTCTAAACTAGATTTGCTTATTTTTCTTAAATAATGGACAAAAACTAACACGTTGTAATGTTGTAGATAAGCGAGGAGCGCGAGGTGGTGTTGACACTGGCGGACAAGGACGTGCTGGCCGAGGACTCGGAGGATGTACTCGTCAACGTTAACATCGTCGATGACGAGAGGACCAAGAAGGTAATCCGTTTGTTTTTATATTGACCATTTCATTAATTAATTACTTAAGATTTTTAATGTTCAATACGCTGCACATTTAACATAATAATTCAGGTGGGCACCCGAACCATACTATGTTTGTTTAATTCCAAAAATTGTAGTCACAGTTCCATGATGTGTATTCCTGACCATTGTCTACTCTTGTTCCAAAAATCATCCCGATCCCTTCAGCCGTTGTGAAATGAAGGAGTTACAGACAATAATACAAACTTTCTCGTTTATAATATTTATAGATTATGGTGTGAAGCAATATTTATGTAAATTAATTTTAATATATTTCCAGAATCTATTGGAAGCGAAGAAGGCGAAGGCCGGTTACCGCGCGTACGACGACGAGGCGGACTTGGAAGCTGCAGCGCTGGGCTTCGAGCGACCCGTGCTGGCCAAGTATGACGACGAGATCAACAAGGGGAAGGAAGCCAAGACCAAGGGCTTCTTCATTGGAGACGAGGACGTGCTCGAAGCCAAGAAGTTCAGGGATATGATGGTTAGTTCTCATTTTCTTTATACTCATCGTATATTCTACTTTGTTTTATAATATGTATCTTTTTGTAGGTACTTACTGCGAACGGGTTTAGAAGTTTTGTAATAACATTCCCTTCAGATAACGTAGTAGTAATGTTGTTGCTTTTTTTTGTCACAGCGCCAGGATCGTCTCCAAGGCGGTGGCGACAAGAGGCTGGAAAGCCTGCAACTACCTGCGCTGCAACTGGCCTCCGACTATATGGACGAACATGAGTTGCAGGCCAAGTTCAAGAAGACCAAGAGAAAGGTATGTTATTGTGATAGACATAAGTAAGATGTAAGATCTAATTCTTTCGTTCATTGTAAGATAAACTAATTTTGTAGACGATTTCTGTGTATTAATGGAGCGTTTCTGTGTAGGGCAAGATACGCAAGAAACCGAAACAGGAACCTATCGATGTGGAAGACTATGACGCGGCCACCGCACCGCTCGATACAGACGACACAGGTATGTAGCTGTGTACTTGTCCTATTTGAGATCTTTATGGGATATGGTGGCAAATAAACAGATGGATGGTAAATAATGGGCGTCGCCTACGTGCATTGACAACATCAGAGGATTAACAAGTACATTGTGCCCTGCTTTTGGCAACAAATGTGTTGTTTTTTGTGTTAGGTCGTGGTATCACTCTTTACTTAGCTTTTACCCGCGGCTTCGCTCGCGTCATAAAAGAATAAAAAGTAGCCTATGTGACATATACCAATACACACAGCGCCATCTATACCAATACTTTTGTTTTTCCTCGGGGATATCAATATTTTCCAGGTTAAAAAGTACCCTATTATTTAATCCGGACTTCTAACTTTACGTCTGCAAAAATTCAAAGCAATCGGTTGAGTAGTTACGGCGTGAAGTGGAACAAACAAACAAACTCACTTTCAGATTTATAATATTAGTAAGGATAGTGTATAACGTACGGTGTCACAAGCTAAGATGTACTATGTCTGTAGAAGTGAAAACAGAGCTACTGGCGCAGCCGCTGGCGGTGGACGAGGACGAGGCCGAGCCCGACACCGAGCTGCAGGCCGCGCTGGCCCGCGCGCGCAGGCTGCGACAGGCTGAGAAAGCTGAGGACGCGCAGTTCAAACTGCCCAAGGTCAATTATACTGCTTATATCGTACTTGTCTAATAACAACAAGTTATAACACTTTGAAACTGCACTTATCACATTACACAAATTTGTTAAGATACTTATGTTTGTCAGTTTGCTCATGCATTACTTTTGAGCCATCCTGGAGGTTCAGGCTTCATGCGCCATACTTGTCTAATATAATAACACATTTTAGAAGTTTATATGAGTGAGAACAACAATGTTAACGTAAATGATTTATTCTGCAGGTAGAAGAGATCCTGGAGCGAGTGAAGGAGGAGGAGCCTCAAGAGGAGGAGGGCAGCGCCATGGTACTGGACGCCACTGCAGAGTTCTGTCGCACTCTAGGAGATATACCCACTTACGGACTGGCAGGGAACAGGGACCATCACGCTGAGATCATGGTAATGATTCATTTATACCACTTACCATTCTACACGTTTTTATTTCCACATAACGACATCTCATCTTTTAATCTTTGAAGTAATAAGTAGAGGTGTCATTAAGTTATTGTTATCGTTATGTGCAGGACTTCGAGCGCGAGGACATGGAGGTGGAGGCCGAGGCCGACAGTACTGCGGGCGCGTGGAGCCGGGTCGATGTAGACAATGAGAAACCTGCTGACCTTGCTGCGGGTCAGTACCTGCTTACAACTGTGTTTGTGTAATGTCTAGGCTTATGTGTGGACACTGGTGTGACACTAATCCACTGCAAATTAAACAATTCTTTATTTAGATGGAATAGAGTTTTATGTTGTGCGCAAGAGGCATATACAAATAATCATATCTACTTGTCATACAATTATTTTGTTAATGTTGAGTCTGAATCTTAAGCCCAAAAATAAATTGTAGAGGAAGAACGGAATATTGATACAGTTAATGTGTGTGCAGGTTCGCACGTGGGCCTGGAGGCCGAGCCCCGGCTGGGTGCCGGAGTATGGGGCGCGCTGCAGCTGGCGCTCAGCAAGGGGTACCTCGAGCGCGCGGGGGCTGCGCCCCAGCCTGCCTCCGCCGCCAAACATCTGCTCACCGCCAGGCACTACTCCATCGAGGACAAGACATACGGGTGAGACTACATATTGACAACTGTCTCGTAACTCTCCTACCATTAATTACTATTATATTGTAATATTTTCCTGAAATAATAAAAACAGACCTCATAAAGCAATAAATGATCTCGTCCCCCAGGGAGGACGACAAGTACGGACGTCGTGAGCGAGGCGGTCACTCGGGCCCGCTGCAGGACTTCCGCGAGAAGAACAACTTCAGACCCAACATCAAACTGGAGTACGTGGACGACGACGGACGACCACTCTGTCCCAAGGAGGCATTCCGGTACCTCTCACACAAGTTCCACGGGAAGGGACCCGGCAAGAACAAGCAGGAGAAGAGGATTAAGAAAGCCGTGCAGGAAGGGGTAAGTCCGAACATAATTACAAATAATAACAAAAAAAACACTATTATTATAAACAGAACTAGGTATTAGGTAACTTTTATCTCATATTTCCTGCAGCATCAGAAGCATATACCTTTTAGGAATCCACACATACAGCCACAAACGAAAAGCTAGTCGTTAAACAATTTTGATTAAATTATGACTTTTAATTTTCAGCTGATGAAGAAGATGAGTTCGACGGACACCCCGCTAGGCACCCTGCAGATGTTACAGGACAAGCAGCGCGAGACTCAGTCTCCATACATCGTGCTCAGCGGACTCAAGCGGGACTCTACCAACTGAGCGAGCCGTCGATAATATCCTCGCGGTACAAACAATCACACTTGTTCTGTATATTTTCGGATAATCTAATTTTGCGGCAATAAATACGTTTAGACATGTTTCTGTTTATTATTGCATTAATTTTACATTTTACTATACACTACACGCACATACAGTTACGTTATACCATTTTACCTTCATCTTTCCCTATGGTGACATTTTCAGTGTCCGAAGATTTTCAATACCAACGATTTGTTTTTTTTTTCTTAAATAAATGGTGCATGTATGTACAAACACAATTTCACATACCGCACACAGCACAGCACACCCAAACTTAACTGTGGTTTTCCAAGCCACCTATGGTGCAAGGACGTCGAACAAAAGAGCGTATTTCTTTTTAAAATAAAAGGCTGGCAACGCACCTGTTTCATTTCCACTGGTGTTGCGGGTGTCCATGGGCGGTGCTGATAGCTTACCATCAAACTTTTATTACCGGTAAATTCTAAGTCATAAACTAAAAGGTATAAAATAAAAATAAAAAACTGCGTTTAAAAAACAACTTCAAAAACAAAAACACGAAAAGTAAAAAGTAAAAAGCAAAAATAACTATTATTGGTCATACATACTTACAATACATATAGCTTACACACCCACTGAGGTGAGAAGTTCCCCTCGGTTTCCCTGGGATTCCATCATCAGATCCTGACTTCATGATAATGGGACCAAATGACAAAGTTACCCTTTCAAACAAAAAAGAATTTTTGAAATCGGTCCAGCCGTCTACGAGTAATCGAGAAATAAACATAAAAAAACCTCCTCCTTTTTTGTGAAGTCGGTTGAAAAGATCGTTTGTGCTTCCAATTTGTGTCAAAGTTTCTATAGAACACGATACGATTACTATACGATAGTTCTTGCGACATTTAGTTCCTTTTACGCACGAGTTCCCATGCTCGTACGTCTTGCAACTGGTGTCTAAGAAATCAAGGTAACTAAAAAATAAGGTTTGAACTGTCATCTATAACTCAAAAAGCAATCAATTCTGGGAGAAGATTAATTTCTTGTTTCTACGATTTTTAGTCACTATTTGTATATGAACGAAACAAATCAAAGTGAAGCGTTTATACTTTGGGCATGTACGATGTGGGCAACTACGAGGAGCGTGCGGGGTCCCGCGCCTGGCGCCCCATGCCGCCACAGTTCGTCACCTTCGTACCGTACGCGTGTGGGCAACTCGAGGCATCTTTCGAAGTCAGAGTCAACGTCGAATGCCAAGGTACGTTCAATTTGGAATAGTAATGAACAAGACTAATGAGCTGTGCTAGTGATCGTAAAACAGTTCACTACCTACACTATTATTTGAAGGTTATCTGGATCTAATCCTTTACTAAATAGTAGGTAAATATCTATTACACAAATTATATTATTTAGTACCTATCTGCTAGACTAGTTAACGTGTATGGTTAACGTGTAGGTACGTGTTGTGTACATTGCAGGCCAATACTATGGAGTAGATGATAAAAAGAAGAATAAACGGCTGTCTCAGCGTCGCCTCGGCGCATACAGCACGCGGCGCGCGCTGGTGGTGCCGTCGGGCTCCGTGCTGGCAGTGGCCCGCGCGCCCACCGCCGCCAACCTGGTGCTGGACGACGGCGTGGTGCTGGTACACGCCGTCATGGACTCGGCCGAGAACCTGGTGGAGATCGCGTTCCGGCGCTGCGTTACTATCCCGCGCATGCTCATTCAGGTCATAGGCTGGAGTGTGCCTCACCACGAATTCTTGTCCAGACTGACAATCCGCTGGGCAGCACTAGATGCAATCGCATTGTATGAATTCTCAAAGTTCTTGAGCAACGTGAATCTCACCGAGATTTGTCTAGACGACTCGCCCGTGAAGGGGCGCAACTACGAGGTGCTCCTGGCCAGCCCTAACCACTTGCGCTATCTGTCGCTGGCGCGCTGCAACCTGGACGACGAGGACACGGCGCGGCTGGCCATGCACCTGCAGTACCCGCGGCCCGCCGCCAGCACGCTGGCCGTGCTGCTGCTGGCCGCCAACCGCGTCGGGGACGCCGGCGCCGCCGCGCTGGCCGACGCGCTGCGCAGTAACCGCACCCTGCGGTGCCTCAATCTATCGGGCAACGTCATCTCCGACGTGGGAGCCATTAGTATATTTGACACTCTCACGGAATTTCCTTTGACGACCGACGAAATTATTAAAAAGAGATTACGGTTCCTCGAATATCTAAAATTGAAGAGCGAAGTGTACGATAAATGTGTGAGACAGTTGATTCTGGAAAGAAATCACGACGAAGCCCGGGCGATGAGGCGGCGGCCGACAATGCAAGCCCCGCAGAGGAGGATCAGCGTGAAGGCGTCGCAATTCAGCAACGCCTTGTACCAGAAAGCGGAGACCTTGGCAAACGATCTAGTGGGCATGTTCACAGACCCCTTCAGTGTCGAGCAGACGGTGACGCGCAGCGACCACACGTACTGCATCGGCAACACCAGCCTGTGCTGGCTCAACCTGTCCTACAACAACCTGGAGTACTCCAGCCTGGGCGCGCTGTACGAGGCCCTGGTGCACCAGCAGTGGCTGGGCCCGCGCGCCGCGCCCGGCCTGCTGCGGGTCAACGTCGACGGGAACCGCCTGCCCGTAGACTGCGACCAATTGTTTCTCATTGAAGATTTATTGGATAAGGCTCGGTGCTCGAAAAGTAGGCAAATTAAACACGTTGTCGAAAAGCTCCGCCCCGGTCGTGTTCGATCTTCCAGTTAGCTTTAATTACATTTTTAATATAAATTTAGATAGATATTGTCAGTATAAAGTATTAATACTTTAATATAGTTTAGCTTTAGCTTTAATTATAGTTTAGATATTATTGCTTACTATTTATACCTATCTGTAAATAATTATTTTTAATTAACTATTTAATAAATAAATTATCTATAATCTTTTTGCGATCTGATGGTTATTGTAGTGACGTTTGGTATTTGAAATGAAGTATCACTACCTCTAGAGTAGAGATGTGGTGGTTGATAAATTTGTGCAAAAATTTCGATTTAATTATCTAACTGATAAAGATCACATGCAAGAATTACTCCCGAATACTGAAAGACTACTCAATTTTAAATTGTACTTAAATATCCGTTGTGCCATCTCTGTCATTTCACAAAGATTTGTAGCGACAGAACTACTTAAGCGCGACTTAAAATGGAGTAGCGTTTGAGTATTTGAACATTAATCAATTAAAAGCACAATTTTTGCAAAATTAAATTTATTTTAATGATATTTACAGTTCAAAATTTAGTTTTGTAACATAAAAATAACGTAAAATTTTTATTCATTACTAATGAATATGAAAACGACAAAATCAAGTGTGCACTGGCACCGAAAGTGTTTTAGATCGAGCGTCCAATGCGAGTCAAACTACCCACATCAGACATCAGTGGGCAGTTTAGGTGCTAATGCTTCATATTCATAATCTACGACTATATTATCGACAAAAAGAAAATCGCCGACGGTGCTGAAACTGAAACAACAAAATAGCGTGCATAAGCGCGTAATGACAATATTTTACAATTTTACTATAATATTAAAATACTAGCTTTTACCGGCGCGGCTTCGCCCGTGTCTCCGTGGGATAAAAAGTAGCTTATGTCTTATTCTAGGTCATAATCTGGCCATGTTCCAAATTGAACCCCAATCCCAATTCCTTCAGTCGTTTTGACGTGATTGAGTAACAAACCTGAGGAAAATAAATGTCAAATATTAGAGACACTGTCACGATGGTATCACATCACTATACCCATCATATAACATAAGGACTACCTATAATCATACCTTTTGTCAGGGTTCCCGATTTAAAAAGAATAAAAAGATTTCAATTGAGTACTTAAAATTCAGTTTATTTAGCGATATAAATATAAGTAAAAATAAATTAATGTAAATCGTATTTAAAATACAAATAATGACTGAAAAATAAAATTATAGGACTAAAGTTATCAGAAGTCAATTATTAGAATAATAATAATAATTCAATAAATCACGTTTAAAAAGCACAGGTTTGCGTTAATATACAAAGTAGCAATTAATTAATTAAACAAATAATAAATAAATACTAAACTTTCACGTAGGTAGTTAGGCATACTAAAGCCAATATAAGATTAAGAAACACTTATCATTACAACTTGTATGTCGATAACAACGAGCGACACGTCATTAGCGTCTAACGCGATAAAACAGCATCAAACAGAAAGTAACGTTCCCCTCTCGCAGCCGAGTCTTCCAATCTCACGAAGAACATATTTAAGTTAGCGTCGACCTCTCATTGACCAGCACAAACTGTAACAAGATTAACAGAGGTAACATCCTATGTCGAGCGCAGTCGGCGGTTCTGCCATATACCATGGGTTGTAAAAGCTCAGTCATTCAACTGGCTGATGTGATTTCAACACAGTATGCTTTTTCTTCCTGTCCACGTTTCATAATTGACTGACAGTTGAAATAAATCTTATAGAACATCAAGATAACACAAGCATCGTATTGTCGAAAATGTGTGAACTCTATGTGTGCTTACACTGTCTCATTTAGTATAGCGACGGTGTGCCTTATTGTGTGTCCTTCATCGAACTACGTTTTTCTTCAAGTTTAGAAGAATTAGGCTGCGGTGGGCCTTGACTGGTCAGACTCGAGCCAAAATGGGTCTTCTTTGTCTTGGCGTGTCGCAGCCGTGTCTCACGCACCAGCTCTGGAGTGGGTGGCCGTCGCACTGGTTGGGTCGAAGCCATACGAAGGTGTGCGTACAACGGGATCTGAATCGAAATATGGCATTGAATAAATGTGTAGCAAGTAATTGCACTGTTAACTGTGCAAAGCTTATAATAAAGGTACTGACCGTAGCTAACGAGGTGTCGAGTTTGATGACATCTATCGGGTCTGGTCTTCGTGGAAGCGAGAAATATTTTCCAAGCAATGGCTCGTTGGGTGCCTCGCCGTAGGTCTTGGTCTTGAGCTCGTGCACGGTGATATCGTGCAGCTTGTCCACCACCTTCTGCCCCGGCACGTAGCGCGACACTTGGCCACTGCGCCACACCTGCAGACAGCACGCACTGGTTCACTGCCGCCCTCAGCACACTGTGACGCGGCGTGTGGCCGCCGGCTGGCGCTCACCTTGAACGTGGTGAAGCTGGCGACCTTCTTCACGTCGGGCGGGAAGCGCGTCACCTCCAGGGTCCACGGCAGGAAGCTGCCCAGTGTCTGCAGGTACTCGCCTGACAGACGCCACACTCGAACGCTGTAGTCTGAACTGCCGCTGTATGATTATTAAATCTCTTATTGCTCAGTAATAGCACAGTATAAAAATTATAGTAATAGTAGTATATATACAGCTACAGTCTAGATTTGTATAGGTTTAGCCGTATTACAAAGAATGAGAATGGGTCTCACAATTACAACAGAACTGAAAAGCTGATGTATGTAGGTAACTATGTGTACTTGTGCACCTCCGCTTACTCCTTCGTGATTAAAAAGTGTGGCTTTATATTATACTAGCTGTTACCCGCGACTTCGTCCGCGTGAAATAACGACTTCTGTATAAATTGGGTTTTTTAAATTAGTCTTTGTCAAGGTATATTCTACGGCTGTACAACTGGAACAAATATCATCACAATCGATTCAGTACCTAGGTTATATTTATTGAGAAATGAATTTTATTCTCGTGGTTTCTAAAATAAACAATCCCATAGAGGTTTTACCCGTACAGTGCCCGTCTCGTGAGGTTTCACTATTCTATGTTTGCAAATCAATGTTGTATCGCATTTCAATCAAATAGATATAGTGATTTTAACAGCACAGTTGCCGGTTTCGTGGGTTTTTCGGGTTAAAAACTTTTAGATGTCCTTTCCCTGGTCTCAAACTATCGCTGCACCGAATTTCACCAAATAGATTCAATGGTTTAAAAAGTAAGAGCCCCTCTTTATTTCAACGTCCTTGGTCCTGGTTTTTTAGCGCATAGTTTCCGTCATTTTGGGATTTCCTCTCTCCTATAATGTGACCTGATATGTACCGGTGCGACGTGCGTTACTATCGCAAACATTTAAATGAAAAAATAGGTATTCTGATATTAGGTTAGTTACATATGACACATAGTATTAGTTACATAATGTCCTCTATAAGACTTAATACATCCCTTGGCTCTATTGTCCATAATTTCCACAGCGTAATCAATACCAATAATATAAGGAGTTTTTTGGTAGTTTTTCACACATCGGGTTGTCATTACCTAAAGGAGATTTTTTTTTGAGGTCGGAAAATCATCCAATCACTTCTCCCGCCTTGGGTTAGGTGAGAGGGAGTGACAGATTCTTACTGACTAAAATCCACTCCGTTCCTACTCCTGCTCGTCGAGCCGGAGCCCCGTCAACTCGTTAGGCCTCCCGCGGCACCGTATCGAGCATCAGCCCTACTGGGCTCCATCTATGATGGTGTCATGGCTCTGTAAGGCGCGCGCCGTATGCACGGGACTGGTTCTGGTCGGGTCGCGAGCTACCCTTGCTCTTCGTCTACAGACCCGCACTTACGGTGGCCGGTGGCCGGGTCCCGCGACGGCTGGGGCGTGAGGAAGTTCATTCCCTCACACGCACCGCTTTCTCCTTGGCAAGCATAACTGCTTCGCAGAAGGATGCGACTGCATCCCAATCCCCCTCGCTCCATGGCCTGAACCAGAGCCGAACGCGAGAGGTCACCGTTTCCTACATCCCTGAGAACACGGCGGTGCTCAGCCCATGCAAGGTACACCGCCACGGTATGCTCCACCGTGTTCTCCGGGCGGTTCCTTGCATTGATGGCCTCTTAAAGCCACTTTTAAAGAGGGGACTTTCCGCTGCAATGACAGCGAGCCCAGCCCTCGGTTACCTAAAGGAGTGTTTCGCTGTGTAAGTGAGGTTACCGGAGGCCCAATTACCCCTCCCCCAGCCCCCCCAATCCCTGACAATCCTCAAATTACCAATTCCCAAAAGACCGGTAACGCACTTCTAGCACTTCTGGTGTTACAGGTGTCCATGGGCGGCGCAGATTGCTTACCATCAGGTGATCCGTCTGCTCGTTTACCGGCTTATGCCATAAACAAACAGCAAACTATCATAGTGAATTTGGCCTTGACGGTCTAAAATGAAAAGGACTAATATTATTTTTTAGCTATGTGCATTTAGCTAGTTTTTTTGATATACATATAAAAAATACGAATTCAAGTAAACTGAAAATATTTTATTCGTGGTTTTATCTCCTTAGACTGCTGTCAACCTCTTTGCATACCTTAATATTAATACCATAGTATAAAAAAAATCTATGACACATTGACTTTGTAAACTCACTTGTCACACAAATGTCAGATGACTTAAGAAATGTATACTAATAATATAAATTTGTATGTGCTTGTTTGTTTGTTTGTCCGTATTTCACGACAGAACGGAGTCAGGAAGGTTTTTGATTTGAGATAGTTGAAAAGATGGAGAGTATCATAGGCTACTTTTTGTCTTTTTCTAACCCCCTTCCACTTCCGTGAAACAGAGGTGAAAGTTTGTATGGGGTATTTTGCAATTTTCAATGTGGAAAGCTAACAATTGGTATGCGGGTTATTTGTGACCAGCATAGAATCGTGCATCATTTCATTTTTTTATTGTAAATCCTTCCCTCACCCCATTAAAAGAACGCGAGAGAAGCCGCAGACAGAGGCTAGTCTATGAATAAATTGTATTCAGTCAATTGAATTCGTATTT